AAGATATGAATACTGCATCGAATATCTTCTCGATTTTCGATGAAAACAGGTGTCAAACCGTGCCAAAACTCATTTTTGACGAATTCGGCTTATTGAAATCGATAGAATTTGACTCCTATTTTGTATGTTTTATATTGGTTATAATGGATTGTAAGAAAAAAACTGTCAGAATAGTCAATAAAATTTCTATATTTTGAATATTTACGCAGGATATCTTAAGTTCAGATTCGAGTATTTTTAAGGCCGATTCGCCCAGGAAATTGTTCCAACAAAGCTTTTTGCTGTTCTAAATAGAACTCGAGAGTCTACATCAAACGGTGAAAATCTCATCTTAATACATTCCATCATTCTCCAGATAGTTTCAAGATACTGGTCTCGATTGTCCCGTCAAACTAATATTTCTTGGGTCGATTCATCTATGAAAGTGTTCCAACTAACCTAAAATATGTTCGACGTGTTTTCAGACGAGCTACGTCTATTGATGAGGCTACAAATTGTTTGCTAAGTAAAATTTCTATGTGCTCAGTAAAAGAATTCAATGCTAAGTAAAAATATTGAACGCTCAGTTAATTAAAAGTTTCTCAGTAAAAAAAAGTATTTGCTGAGTTTGATAGATAACCGCTAAGTAAAAATTATTATTACTGAGTAATTTCCAGTAAATGTAAAGTACGATTATCGGAGATAAGAAAAATTTTTTATAGTACTATAATGTCTATATTGTTTTCTCTTACTTTTCTTTTATCATCGTTCGACTGGTATCGTGATATATATGTCAACATTCAATTTCGAATTCACTCCAATCTCGGATGTTCACATTGAATTAGTCCATTGTTGGATTGAGAAAAATTTTTTATTAAAATCTTCATCACTCTCAAGATATATGTTGCATTGAAATTCTCGTTGATGAACTGTAATGAAGCAATGGTACTTCGTATATTAAAATCATCAATGCAGAATCTACGTTCGAATTTGAACTCTAATGGATAGTTTTCCTAAAAAACTGTTCTTCTGTAGAGATTTACGTAGAGGTTCACAAACGTTACTTAAATTTGTATATCGACTATTATATTTTCTAGAGTATCATTGCTGCAAGGCCATTTATCAACAAGAATTTCGATCTAATATTTCTCTTGAGAGTAGCCGAGGTTTTAATTAAAACAAATTCCTCAATCCGATGTTGAACCAGTCCAAAGTGAGCACCCGAGATTGACCTAGGCGGATCTAATGTTGAAGTGAATCCAACACTGGATGCTGACACACATATATATCACTTACAGATTTTTTCGTTCTGATGTAGGTGCCTGTTTTCTTAGAATATGCTCTAGTACAATCCTATTTGTTTTTCTCTCGATGTTTGTTTTACATAAGATTTGTATTGCTTTCTCGAGACTTCTCTTCTGTTTGGCACTTTTGGGTATGCTCTTTCCCTCATTTTCTTATATACTTCTGCTGATCTGTCATTGAAAGTTTACATTGAATTAAAAAACTGAACTACAGCAACGCGTCGGAATGAAAAAGAACCGACTTGGCTATTGTCCGAGCTTCTTCAAAGAATATATTTGTAAAAATATTTTAGTCATAGCTATTAGGTTGAAATTTTGTAAAACATCTCTATCAGCAAAGGATATATCTTTCGATAAAAAAAAGAATACAAGAACGACCACGAAAAACAACAAAAGCTCTATTTATACAATAACTGTACAATTAACTTATTCACTTAGACATTCATGTCATTTTACTTAATCAAAATTATATATTTACTTAGCGATTTACAATATTTTACTAAGAAAATCAAACTGTTTTACTTAGAATTTCAATAAAAAACTTTAAAAAAATACTTGGTTTACTTAGAATTTTTTTCAATAAATAACCTAGCAAAAATTTAATTTATTTACTTAGCTTTTATTTAAGATTACTTAGCACTTAAATAGTAGCCTTATTGGTTAAAATTCCAACATCACACAATGCTCCTGTGAAGTGTTACTAGCAATTGCTAGGCCTGTTTGGTTCATTCAGACGATACTTTTTGGGCTGATTCACTCCAGAGATTGTTTCAATTAATCTGAAATATGCTCTAAATGTAATTTGACGAGTTCTATTCATTAGTGAAAACCCCAATATTATACGACGCTTCTGTGCAGAGTTATTAACACTTTTCAGCCCCTTTGAGTTCACCGAGGCGGTATTTCTTAGACCAATTCGCCTGAGAAAGTGTTTCAACTAATCTAAACTATGTTTCAAGCATTATTTGACGAGCTTTATTTATTGGTGAAACCTGAACAGCATACAATACTCCTATGCAGAGCTGTTAGCGATTTCTAAGCCCTTTGGATTTACCAAGGCAGCATTTCTTAGACAGATTCACTTACGGAAGTGTTCAAACTAACGTAAAATATGTTCCACGTGTAGTTTCACAAGCTCTACCCACTGGCAACATCGGCTAGCCATGCAATGCTCCGATAGTGGGCTATTATCGATCTGCAGCGCCATGACTTTTGCTGGTACTGGTTTTCTTGGGCTGATTCGACTGTGCAAATCAGTGATAACTCAGTGTCTAAACATAGTGTGATGTTTTGGTTTTCACCAATAAACAAAGCTCGTCAAATAATGCTTGAAACATAGTTTAGATTAGTTGAAACACTTTCTCAGGTGAATTGGTCCAAGAAATACCGCCTCGGTGAACTCAAAGGGGCTGAAAAGTGTTAATAACTCTGCATAGAAGTATTGTATAATGTTGAGGTTTTCACCAATAGACAGAGCTCGTCTAGAAACACGTCGAATATATTTTAAGTTAGTTGGAACATTTTCACAGATGAATCGGCCCAAGATATATTAGTTTGATGGGGCAATCGAGACCAGTATCTTGAGACCATCTGAAGGACAATAGAATGTATTAAGATGGGATTTTCACCATTCAATAGAGCTGTTGAAATACTACCTGGAGTCGAATTTGGATCTTTTGCAACATTCTGTGGGAGGAAAAGGCGCACTGAGTAATAATATATTCACAGTAGATGTCGCCACAATACTGTGGCTGAGCATTGTGAGACGTATAGCTCGGCAATGATTGATGCCATAGGGACGCAGTTTTCACTGTAGGATAGAGCTCGTAAAATGGTACTTGGAACTTGAAGAGTTTTGTTGAAACAAGTTCCTAGGTGAACCAGCCCAGAAAATCCCAGATGGAAGGGCTATTTCTGTCTGTTGTTCGGCCTTTTCTCGAGAACGGTCGTATGTATCGAGAAGCGATTTTCACTATCCGATAGAGCTCATCGAACTGCATTGGCAACATAGAGAATTTTGTTGAAAGAAGTTCCTAAGTGAGTCGTACCGAGAATTACATTTTCTACAATTTGTTGCAATGGAAGAAAAAGTAGTGATTTTATTATATCTCGGTTGTTCTAATATGTTTAGAAGAGTGATGTTCACCATTCGATGCAGCTAATCGAGTCCTACTTGGAACAACAAATAGCTTTCTTGGAACAGTTTCCTGGGCGATTCGGTCCTAAAGATATTCGAATCTGGACGTATCATATCCTACGTCAGTTGAAGAGTGATCAAATAGCGCAGCAAAATAGAGCATCGTTTTCTCTATCAATACATAAAAAAAGAAAATTTCTTCAAGTCTTCTATAGGAAATTAAGATACGGCCGCCACTACTTTTGGTGTGTCCGAAATGTAGCGCTCATGATTGTGCTGATCAAACAGCTATGAATACGTACTGTATTTTGTTGTAAGCACGTCCACGTGTAACAATAAAAAGAGCGAAATCAAAAGAAAAACAATATTCATCATCCTCATATTGCATTGAGAACTTGTTTCTTGCTTTCTTCCTATCGAATTATTCGAGCCAGCATCGTCAATACTGTCCTTATTTTTCTGCTTTCCGTCATTACTCCTACTTTAATCTACATGCATTTCTTTCCATCAATAACAAACGTGAGCATGTCTATATGGTTGTGCTTCTTTTACTCTCGTTGTGATTTCATTTGTCTGTATTTGTCAATCAAATGTATTCGGTAAAAACTATTTTATATAAGTCATTAACGTTTTTGCTTGTTTCTTTCGATGATGAAGTTTCTCTGTTTCCAGCTTCTTTTATCAACGCAATCGATTCTATAGAACAAGAATGTTTACAGCCACATCGATACAGACCAACAAAGAATGTTCTCAGTAGAATTGGACACAATTTCTCTCCTGTTGATGTCCGAGTTAGCGACAGAATATTTGATGATCTTAATCTACGTTTGTCTTTCGTCAGTCTCGTCAATCTCTTTTCATTGATACCGACATTTGACTCAAATCATAATTTTCTTCCAGTTATCATGTAGACTCTTCGAAAAGAATTTCTTTACACAAGTGGAGTTGGTACCCGATTCAACCGGAAACTTGTTCCAACGCTCCTATTCTTGTCCCAAGTGGAACTCAATGAGCTCTATCCAGTGGGATAATTGGAATTTTAGTAGCTCAAACTATACGATCAAAAAGTTGCCCCATGGTGCTATAGTATAAAAAACTAGTTTTTTGAACTTTTTGACCACATAGTTTGAGCTATCAAAAATCTAATTATACAATTCGATAGAGCTCATCGCGCTCTACTTGGAACAAGAATAGGAGCTTTGAAGCAAGTTCCTAGGCGAATCAAGGCAGAACCTACTCGAATTGGATCCCAATCTCACTTACGTAATTTCTTTTGATATTTTTTGAAACAAATAAGAATTCTTGTGCCATGATCGATTGAAAACTCGAGTCAGGGTAACAATGTTTAGATCTCAACTGTATTCACAATTTGATTGTGATAAAATTATTGAGCTAAACAAATTATTTGGATCTTTACTCTTGTTCTCGTTGTCGTCCGACACAAAGATTGACTTCTTGAATGGAAAATCCAATTTTTCTAATAAGATGTTCGATTATCGATTAGATTATTCTTGAATAAAAGTCGTTTCATACAACAAACTGTTCTTTTATACAATTTATTTTGTTTTCCTTTGTATCAGATGCAACGATATGTATTAATATTCGCTGCTATTATCGTTGTAATGTATTTTGGTCTACACACAACTAACCAAATGTTGATTAGAAAAATTAACAAAGAGGCAACTGAAAAAGAAGAAATCAAAAAAGGAACAATTGACAAAGAAGAAATCAAAAAAGGAACAATTGAGAAAGAAGAAATCAAAAAAGGGACAATTGACAAAGAAGAAATCAAAAAAGGGACAACTGAAAAAGAAGAAATCAAAAAAGGAACAATTGATAAAGTAGAAATCAAAAAAGGAACAATTGACAAAGAAGAAATCAAAAAAGGAACAGCTGAAAAAGAAGAAATCAAAAAAGGAACAATTGATAAAGTAGAAATCAAAAAAGGAACAATTGACAAAGAAGAAATCAAAAAAGGAGCAATTGACCAAGAAGAAATCAAAAACGGAGCAATTGATAAACAAAAAATTAAAAAAGAAAAAGTACTCCTAGTAACAGCTATTCCACCAGCACCATGTAAAAGCACTTTTGGAGATTTTGTCAATATTCAATCTATAAAAAATAAATTAACATACTGTCAAATAAAAAACTTTTCTTTTCATTTTACTACTGTTAAAGTTGATCCTTTATTAGCCGGTTCATGGAATAAATTAGCACTTGTACATTATATACTAGAAAATAATTTAGATTATGATTGGATATTTTGGTTCGATGTGGATACATTAATATTAGATATGGAGTTTGATATTCCGTTCCAAGATTACTCAGAATATAACTTCGTCTTATATGGTGACAAAAATTTATTGTATAATGAACGTAATGTTTTAGAAGGATTAAACACTGGCATATTTTTGATAAGAAACAATGAATGGGGAAGAAAGTTTATGAAAAAAGCCTGTGATTTGGGCAAAAGTAAGACAGTAAAAATGGAATTGGCATTAAAAAATTATGACGCATCATTACGTGATCAAAATGCAGTTGCTTATTTATTGTGCCAAGACGTAGAACTACGGGAAAAGGTATTTTTCGAACAGAGATATCAGATTAGCGGTTATTGGGAAGAAGCAAAAAAAAATAAAAAATGGAATCCTTTCATCATGCATTTTGCTGGATGTGAATTCTGCGATGGTATTTATGAAAGCAAAAAGCAAGAATGTCTCCCTTATTGGAAGGAATTCGTTAAAAAACCAAGCCGATATTTTTCCAAAGGACTTATTTAAAAAAAGTAACGCTCGTGTCTAAGACTTGCTGGATCCTCAACTGAATCGGATCTAATCACCATTCATCACTTATTGTTGACACCTGTTTTGAGAAATACCGCTGAATAAACACGCATATATAAAAAAAACTGTTACATTGCTATCGTTGTTAATCTGTAGACTAACATACGTTCTAGTTTATTCTAAATATAATCTTCAACAAAACTAAAAAAAAGATAACAATGATTAATAGAAGTCACGCTCATATGAAGGACTCACTTTACCCTTGACTGAATATTTGACTTTTTCCTTATTATATACTATTCCACAGCACTAAAAAAAAGAAAGACTCAACTGTTGAACAATGTAGCTTGTGAGTGTGGATGTTTATGCTCGGGTGTGGGGTGTGGCTGTGGCTGTGGGGGTGTGATTGTGGCTGTGAGTGTGGGGTGTGGGTGTGTGGTGGTGACTGTGGGTGTGAGTATGATTCTTCTATTTATCTACACCCACCCCAACAGGGTAAAGTTAGCAATGTGTTTCGAATGTTTCTTCGTCAGGCTAGATACAGAATGAATGAAGAATATACATGAGAAAAAACAAGAAATTGTAGAAATATAAAAATGAAAGAGAGTAATAAATAGTGGAATTAAACGAGAAAAACACTAAAAAACAACGCAAAAGTCAAGAAGAAATAACTTTTAGAAATGGAAAGAGAGTAATAAATAATGCACAGTCAAAGACAAAAGTGTAAACGAAAAAGTATTTTTGATTTATTCTATAATAACAAGCATCTAACTGAAATCCAAATAGTGATTCGGATAGCCAATGAAGAGCTCTATCAAATGCATTCTATACCAGAATTATATAGATGATTTAAGGTAGCAAGGCTTCTAGAAAGCCCAAAACCGTATTTTTCAGGTATCAGAAGACTTTGCAATAATTTGTTTCTAAGAGTACCAACTTAAAGAACGCAAAATTCTGAAGAAAATGAAGGGTCGCCGCCTTTCCTTTCAAAATTTATAAGCATTACAAAAATTGGAAAAAAAGTGAAATTCATCAAGAAACCGCTAAAAATCGTATTTTTTCGATTTTTGTGATGCTTATAACTTTTGAAAGAAAAATCGTAGGAAAGGCGGCGACCCTTCATTTTCTTCAGAATTTTGCATTCTTTAAGTTGGTACTGTTAGAAACGAATTATTGCAAAGTCTTCTGAGACCTGAAAAATACGGTTTTGGGTTTTCTAGAAGCCTTGCTACCTTAAATCATCTATGTAATTCTGGTATAGAATGCATTTGATAGAGCTCTTCATTCGCTATCCGAATCACTATTTGGATTTCAGTTAGATGCTTGTTATTATAGAGAAAATCAAAAATACAGTTTCGTTTAAACTTTTGTCTTTGACTGTATATAAAGAAAGAAAAAAAGCAAAATATCTGCTGTTTTTTTTTCATTTTGGAGAGTGTGTATGGGTGTGAGTCTGGGTAAGAAAGTGGGTACAGGTATGGGTGGATGTGAGTGTGGGTGTGGATTTTCTTCCAACTTTCACATACACTCACATTCACACTTACACTCACCCTTTTATTGATTTCAGACGATAATTAAATATAAAATCATCACATATTTCAAAGTTTCAGTAAGAATAAAATGTCATTCATAATGTTGCCGCTGAATTCTATTGTTTCTCTTCCAAAACTCTCTTACTTGCACAGAACATGTGTTGAGAAGTGACTGAACTCACTGGGATTTTCAATGGCCTTTGTCTAATCGACGAAATTTTAGATAGTTTAATAATGATTAGTCGCACCAGACGAGTAGTGATTTTTCTTTACCAAAACTTGATTTTTCTCTCTAACATACCGGCTGACTTCTTATTAACCAAAAAGATATTAAAAGTGTCTTCGAAGTTGCTTGCCAAAAACTTCTTAGAACTATAAACAATACTATAACTCTACCCTATTCTAACTTACAATATGGGTTAAGGCTACCATGCAGAACTCTGATTCATAACGCAAATATGCAGTACTAGAAAAAAATTTAAGTTGGAGATTTCATTACTGCAAACCAGGCCTCAAATATGAACCAATTGTTCTATGATAAGATCCTTCACTGATAAAAATTTCTAGAATTAAATTATTCAATGGTCGATTTTTTAAGCGTTAGATTGATCATTATACAACTTACACGATTCGTTGTAAATATTCCTGCTCTTTCACAATAGCAGATTTCTTCTAAAGGTCGATGCACTAGACATAATAAAAGACTTCCTTCTTCTGAATTAATTAATTTCTCAAAAAGTGAACATACGTAGAGTGAAAAAATAATGGCACAAAATGTCAATCCTTACATCTTGTCGATAAATAGATTTTCAAAGGAATATTTTTTTTCTTAGTTGATAAGAGGTTTTCTTCTCTTTCGAAACAGTGTATGGTCCCTATTTATCTCACACATTGATCAATCAAACGAGAAAGGTAAAAAGAGAAACATTCACAAAATAAATTTTTTTAATTTTTATATGAACTTGTTAAAAACAGATTATAATTATAATTAAGTCTAGTTTTAGAAGATATCTTCTATTAAAGAGAAATAGGGATCGACATTTGATACCATTACTTTTATATCCTACGGTACTTACATTAAAATATGTCTAGTTTCCAAAGTCTTAATCTGAACATCTTAAAAGATGATGTCAGCATTATTTTGGACTTTGAAAATCTTTATAATATATCTAACAATTGTTCAAAGTGTCTTGTTTTTTTGAAAAATCCTTTTAATTAAAAATCCAACTAAATTTTCGTGCTAAGAATATTGTCTGAAACAAACTTTATTTCAAAATTTTGAGAAAACAAATTGTGTCCTGCGTCCACATATCCAAGTACTTTTGATCTTCCTTTGTATTATATATAAGACAATGTTCATTAGTTTTTTTTGTTGACTTTCTTTCTCCTTTGCTTGGTCATCTTTCAGAGATAACTTCTTATATACGAAACCAAAATACATTTTACAAGTAAAAACTAATTTATTCTGTGAAATATTTTTCCTTGTTTTTTTTTCAACATAAAAGATATCAACATATCAAATAGCTGTTTTACTTTTATTTAATGAATTTGAAAATATGAAAGGTCAAAAAATGTTCGATGAAACTCAAATCAATCCTGCATTATAAGCACAAGTTCTTATGAGTTTATTAAAAAGTAAACTGTTAACATGTGTAGGAATCAATATAGATACATTAAATGAAAATTTAAACGAAAGTGATGTTACAATGAATTCTATTACTGAAGTCAATCAAATTTTTCAACCGTTTGACGTTAATTTTTAATTTAAACATTATTACATTATGTTTTCTTTTTCTTTAGTCATAAAAAAATTAATTTAATTAAGCCGATATAACCATTCGTATTGAATTCAATAGATTCTAAATCTATTTATGAATCAATTATGTAAGAGCGACAAAACACTTAAGTGCAAAATTTAAACCCGAAGGTCCTATGATCGAAATATAGTGCTTGTTTGTTTGATTAAAAAATAATATTGATGATTGTTTATTTTAGAAATATATTGATTTATTAATTGAAAAAAAAAATTTCATGACTGATCATGAGCAATTTGTTTTAACTAATATATTTTATATATTCAAGGATTTTTGTTTCTTTTGTTCTCAAAACAAATTCATTCGATAATAAAATGTGGAATAATGTATTTTCTTGTGATATGTATTGCTTCGAAAAGGACGAAAAACATCTCATTGTTTCAAGCGCAACCTCCTCTCAGAAAACTCGATATTCGTCAAAAAAAAAGTCATTTTTACCATAAACTTATGAGTATGGTGCGTGAGTTTCCTAGTGTAAGAAATTTATGAAACGCATTTTTGAATCTCGAACCTTTGTGAGAAAATTTATGAACAATTTCTGAAACCAACTGGAAGGGCGTGATGTCCTGATGCAGATGAGTCTTAATCTTTTGTCAACCACACTCACACCCTTCTATCTTCTTCATCAGTAGTTTGAAGAAAATTAGATATTTGTTTCTCTTACTTAGTTTTAAAAGATCGAAGATAAAAATACAGTTTTGAAGAAAAAATATGCAACAGATATTGAACCAAAAATTTAGTATCACACGAGTACTAATAACAAGTACTGATATAATGAGTAATTCACTAGAGTAGAAACTATTCTTGACTCGATTCCCATACCAAAATATCGAATCGATAGAGAAGAGAGTAAGTAGAAATATGTGTTTCAGTTGCTAATCGTGTTTTTTATTCAATAATTGTTACGTTCGAGTAGACATATGTTGAATGAGGGCTCGACCTAGAACGCTTGAATCCGTACATGTATAACTGAACTCTACTTGTTTTAAAAAAAAGTTTGTGCAAATGAATCGTTGTATTAAAGTTGAACAATACGTTGCATATAATTATTTATAGAAGTATGTACGAAAAACGTTTTTTTTTATTGTCAAATATATCTGATCCTAGTCGATTATTCTTTAATATTTTTTTTTTATCTAATTAATTATTTTCCTCTTTAGCATAATCTATCAAATAAAGTAATCTTTCTATAATTAACAATTATTTTTCTTAGCCATGCACTTTTATCTTTATTCGATTATTTTCATCAATCGAATCAAAATATTTATTTTTTCTTTAGTCAAGCAATCATTTATTTTCCAACACCAGGTACTGTAAGTAAACCAAGGCCACTCAAAAATTGAAACAATTCTTGATGAGAAACCAAATCAGCATATGTATGACAATTTTCAGCAACCTAAAAATAAAATATTAATATTATTAAAAAAACCAGCTAAGAAAATAATTTGTTTTTCTAATCATACCAGTATATAACCAGCACAACATTTCACTTCATGACTACTGCATGCAGACATATTAGGAACTTGAAATGTTTGTATATATGTATACATCGCAGATCTAAAACAAAAAAAAAGCATAGGTTAAATATTACTTATGAAACAAAACGTAAACACTTACTTGTACGCTGTAACATAGTGACTGCATTTCATAGTACCCAAAAAACCACAATCAACATAGCCAACCTAAATGAAATTTAATTTATTTAATCATTTAAATCTTTTCTAATAATACTTTTGTCTTTGTAGCTACAACATGTGTAGCATGTTCAATTTTTGTTTCTGTTACTGTTGCAATTGGTTGTTCATTAATACAACACCAATGTCTTTAAGAAAATAAAAACAACCTAATTTCAGAGAGAAAATAAGAAATTTTTTAATAACTTACGAAGCATCACTAGCAGCACGTCCTGAACCACTAGTTAATGATAATCGAACTGATTCTGGTAAATCAGCCAATTTAACTTTAGCTAAATATGCCAAAGCCTGATCAGTGAGCTAATAGAAAATAAAAAGACAAATTAAGATTTAATCAAATTTATTCTATAACTAACTTCAAATTGGAAGGCATTGACTGATATTAAAGCAAAGATACACAAGCAAACAATTGATTTCAACATGGCTATAGTCTTGTAAAATCAAAGCAATGATCGTCGTTTTATTTTTATTTTTTTATATAGATATTCGCCTACCTTTTTTTTCTCATCCGATATTTATCATATAAAACATCTGGTTTTCATTCTCATAATATTATTTTTTCTTTTTACAAATCGAAGCTTGTAAATCAGTGAATAAAATAAATATTTTTTTTTGTGGCTTGAAATTATATTCAGCACAATAAAAAAAAAATCAACTTTTACAGATTCATTTTATTATTCAAGATATTGGTTTTAATAATGAAAAAAAAAAAAATCTTTTATTTTTATCGAAAATGCTCGAGTTAGAATGAAATCAATAGAAAGAAAATAAAGTAGATCCTCTTATTAGAGAGACTAGTATGCGTACACTTAATATGATTGATTTATTTTCTAGACAATGAATCTACAGAACGTCCCAAAGATGCATGCGACAATTTGACTTGAATAATTATTAAATACCTCAAGCGATTTATATATAGTTTTTAAATAGTATTATAGTATCTTCTTTAAAGTTTGGTTTGGTATATATTCAGATAGCTGAATTCGAGTCGAATTTGACGTATTCAGTAGAGTAGTAAATGGATAACAATCTAAAAGACCTTCAAAAATTACAGAAAAAAATCGACATAGTTTATGGTGCTTTTGAAAATTCTACGAATAACAGCAATACAAAGTACATTGAAAGATCTCTTTTCTTTTAAATGATCTACTGATAAATATGAATTGAAAACAAATCTTTCTGCAATATTTGTTTTAAACATTTCGATAACGATGAATTTATGTATTTCAGTTAATGATAATTATTCAGAATATCTGCTGCAAAAAAACGAAATTATTAATTTTTTTCAATGAAATAAATATCAATTTATCGTTCATATAAATCATATTCTATTGCATAGAACTTTGTTATTTGTGTATACATATATTTTTGAAAAAATTAATTCCAATAATAATTATCAACAAATCATTACCATACAACGAGTAAAAGAATTATTTCAAAAAAAGAAAAGTTTTAAATAGAAAAATATTCAAATCAAGATGCCATAGCTTAAAATCGAAAAAATAAAAGACATTTTCTGGAAATAAATTTTGGAAAAATATCAAGCAAGAAGAATACAATATGCTGAGACTAGGGTGACCCTGTTCGGAAAGTTCCTGAAATTGCCAAAGTACAGGCCCCGCAGCGATCCTTCTGTCCTTCTTTTTTTAGAGTGTCCTTCTTCACTTCTAAAATCCTTCTTTTTTTATTTTTCATACAAATAGGTTCTCAGAAACATCGAAAAACTGATTAGCAATACTTAGTTAGAGTTTGACACTCATAGAGAGCTCTCAGAGTTCTAGAAAATGCTTTATTTACCTCGAGACCAATGCAAAGTTCGTTATACGTAGACTAAAGTACGCATGTGTGACTTCAGTCCATGTGGGGCGCATATGCAGAGCTTGAGATATGTAAAATGGTGCTTCTCTAGAATACGGTTACTGTCAAAAATTTCGGACATTTACCAGTGATACAGTATAGCTGAAGCTGAGCCATCTCATAGCCATAGTCTTAAGCTGCATGTATCAATGGTCTTTCATGACATATTGATGTTCAATCGAGATTGCTAGATTGTCGCTTAGTATAACAAAAGACGCAGTTTTATTGGTGTCATTGTTGATAAACAAAAGCAGAAAGGCAACTAACATTCATTAATACTCAATGATAGTGCTTATACACGGAAATGGGGGTAGTACAAGTACGTTTATTCCAACTCAACTCAAAATCAACGTTCAAATTTCTAAGCAAATTAATTTGGTAAATCTGTTCCAGACATGATTTTGAACTTCTCTACTCGAACTATAGCTCTTAATATGTTTTTTAATTTTTTCGTTCGGTTTGGAGTTTCAGAGACGACTTTGGACTTTTCTGGTCGAAGCATTCCCTAGTGACAATTGAACTTCATATCGATCGAGAAACTGGAAACTTATCCAGTTAACTCAACTTGATGGAGGACACAAAAATCACACAGGGATCCTATTCAGAACGAGAAACCTGAAAAAGTGCATCCAAATCAAAGAAGTCGTAAGATATCTCAATCAGAGCTCCGACTGAGATGGGACATTCCCTTCCATCTCCTTCTATGAAACAAGTTGTTTTTTTGAAATGTCCCATGAGATAGAATGAAACGATTTTCTCATCCTATTAGATTTTCTTCTTTTTTTCTCATGAAAAAATGCAGGTTCTCTTTTGATGAAAGATAGACTGAAAGTACTTTATAAAAACGGTGGATCATAGGGTTTATTATACTCTCATTGTTAGCCATTTTGTCAATAGAAACAGTTTTGTCTCTTACTTTCTTCTTACAGTTTTTCATGAAAAAAAGTTTAATGTTTTTACGAAAGTTTAAACCATGAAAAGTGACACTGATTGCCTGGAGTTCTGTGTGCTTCAAGCTCGTTTAATTTTTAAATAATTCCGCCACCGTAATTGCTAATTATATGGACAAAAAGTCATTGTCATAAGGAATCTTTATCATCTCTACTTCAAATTAATTTTCAGCCGAATTTTTTACCAGGCTGGGTTTAAAGAAAACCAATAGGTCGATTGAAAATTCTGATAGATTCTGCAAAATCTCAACAATGATAAAATTCGTCAGAGCCCATAAAGATATGCAGAAAT